TTTACAAATGAAGATAAAGGAAATGTAGTACTCATAGAGATTAATAAGATCTTCTTTCAAAATGGAAGAACTCTTGATGATTTGCCAACATAGCCAAAGCCAACTTCTGCAATTGAGTATGACAAAATTAACTACATGGTTATGGAAGAATTGAACTTTGACATAGATACGTATAAGACTCAAACAACAAGGTATGACCTACAGCTCACAGATAAGCACAAAAAAATCAATGATCACATTATAACAACTATTCATTCAAGTGGTGGTGGCTTCTTCTTTGTCTATGGCTTTGAAGGAATAGGAAAGACCTCTCTTTGGAATGCTGTAACCACTTACATCCGATCTAAAAGAAGAATAGTCTTAAATGTGCCATCAAATGAAATTGCTGCAACTTTATGCCTTCAAGAAGAACAGCTCATTCTAGGTTCTGTATTTATTCTTGTAAATATCACTAAAGATTCTACATCAATATAATGCAAGGTTCTCCTATTTCTAATCTATTGATAAACATTGTTTGATTATCTAGGATAAGGCACTAATGATAAAGAAACATTGTGTTGAGGCTATTGATAGAACTTTTAAAGATATAATGCATAATAAACAGATTTTTGGAGAAAAGGTAGTGGTGCTTGAAGGAGATTTTCGTTAATGGCTACTTGTAAATACTAGGTGTGAGGGTAGACATAGTAAATGCTTCTATTAATTCATTGTACCTATGGCATCATTGCAAGATTTTCAAATTGACATAAAACATGAGGCTAATTGTTTCAAGTTCTGAATTAGATAAGGAAAAGATCAAATCATTCTTAGATTGACTTCTTAGTGTGAGAGATGGTACATTTGGAGTTAATAATGATGGAATTTGTGAAACTGAAATTCCCAAAGGATTATTAATCTCTGAGTTTTCAAATCCTTTATAAAAGATTGTTGAGTCAACATATGCAATGATGTTAGAGAATTTCAGATAGGAAGATATTTTCACAAATAGAAATTTTGGCTCCCATGCTTCAAGTGGTGGATCAATTGAACAATTACATTTGCTCTAATTTCTCAAGAGAGTTAGTAACATATTTCAGTTCTAATTCAATTTGTAAATTTGGTCAAGATTTTGACTCTTTTGTGACATGTATAACACATAGTTCCTTAATACAATCGATTGTTCAGGTATAGCTCCACACAATCTTAAAGTTGGGGTATTAGTAATGCTGATGAGGAATACAGATCAAACTAATGGTATATGCAATGAAACAAGAATAAGAGTCACTTTGTTGGGAGACCACTTTATAAGAGGGGGTAACACTTATTGGTTCAAAAAAGGGAGAAGTTTATATACATCAAATGTATTTAAATCCTTCTAAGAGAAAATTACCATTTCTTATGTGATAGTGTCAATTCCCAATTGTCATATCATTTGCAATGACAATAAATAAGAATCAAGGGCAATCATTGCCAAGGGTTGAAATTTATTTGCTAAGACCAATTTTCTCTTATGGACAATCGTATGTTGCCATCTCTAGAGTGAAGAATAAGGATGATCTAAAATTCCTTATACACAATTCTGAATTGAAGGCAAAGAGCTGTACAACAAATGTTGTTTTCAAAGAGATCTTCTAGAATGTTTCATAAGTTAATTAAAATCTACTTTCAATAACTTTTTTCAGTCTTCTTTCAAATGTTTTACTTGAAGCCTAGTTTTTATTCAAATTGTGCTGAATGTGGAGCTTCATTTATATAGGTAATCTATACATCTTTTGGGAAGTCCTCTAACAAATGAACTGTTTAGGATGAGAATTTAATAACAAACATGATTTAAATTTTTCTAAATATTAAAATAAACTAATATGTCATCTTTTGCAAGTTTCAATTGCTGTGGCAGAAGAACAACAAATAGGAATATTGAAGAATGTTTCTGTCATTGAAAGTTCGTTTGACCATGCTGAAATGTTTTCCTGATACAACTACTTGTACACATAATAATGAGTGCACTATCTAATTGTTGTAACCCAATTGGCGGCTAAAATATGGAGAATAGCTATTGCAAATGAAATATTTGAACAAAAAAATAAACAAACTATATTTGAAGCAAATATGAAACGTTTCTTTTGAAAAATGTACTCATTAATTTTTGTAATTTCTTGATGCTTAAAGCTGTATGATATAATATATCATTTATTATTAAATGAAACAAAATCAAATGCATGACTTATCATATTTTAAGTTATGAATGAAAAAAATATGAAATTGTTATAATTAAATTTAATTTACATCTGCAAAACATTTTTTATCAATGTTTCCATTATAAATTCAATGTCCAATTGTTATAATTTTATTATCTTAAAAATTTAATTAATTTAAAAACAATCAAGAAGATAGTTTCACTTATTGAAAGAAGACCTAATAAGTCATCTTCTTATTGATGTGCAACAAAAAATTGATATAAATGAAAGTTTTTTTTTAATTCATGTATATTTTGTTAAATCATTTCGAATAAAAAATCTTATTCAACAAAATCTGAAAAAAATCACTTTAATTTTTTCTTAATTTCAAAATTTGTGCCAGGCACGAGATTAAATGTAGTTTATACGAAACAGTGTGTGTGAATATATACAAGCGTCATACTTTTAACCATTACAGCTGGACAAGCAGACTGATTGTTAAAGTTTGAATTAAAAACAAAACAAAAACAAAAAAAAAAAAAAAACCAAAAGAGCAAGGGCCAATAAGAGAAGAGGCATGTAGAGCCCATGCAGATGAGAAGTCGGTCCAATAAAGATACCAAGACAAATTTCAAGAAATGTGTAGCGTATCAATCCTCAAACTTTATCCGTGCTTCTTTCGTCTTTATATATAAAATATTTTTAATTAAAAATTAATAAAAATTAATTATTTAATTAAAGACACATCAATATTTTAATTTTATTATTAATTTTTACAAATAAAAATAAATATATTTTTAAAATAAATTAATTAAAATACTTATTTTTTCAATTTAATAATAGTATAATGATTCATTCATTAAAAAATATGATAACAATATCTTATATTTAAGGATAAAAAATGTTTTAAAAAATATTTTATATACAAGATGCACGGAGTATATAGCAGAGGCGTGGATGTTATTGGGACAGAAATTAATCATCATTACATACGCTAATTACTCGTAAATTCAAGATGCTCAATTACTATTTGTATTCCTAAAGAGGACCTACGCCCCCTTTGCATTTATCATTCATTACAATTAATTTATTGCAATTTATATTATACACTTCGCATTTCAAGTAAGCTGGGTTCACCTTGCTTACATGTATTCTCTTGATTACATTAAGATTAAAATATATATTTAATTTTTTAATTTCATACAATATTTTATTTTGATCATTTAATTTTATAAAAAAAATTTTCAATCCTTTAATTTTAACATCAAAGTTTCATCATAAAAAATTTTTATATTAAACTTTTAAATATGAATAAAATATTATTCAAATATTGACATATTAAACATAATTTTTTAAAATAAAAATAATTGACACAAAAAAAATCGTTTAAAACTGACAAGATTGAAGAATTGCAAAGATATTTTATTAAGAGACTCAATTAAAATTTTATATAAAATAAAAAGAACAGAAGTACAATTTAGTCTTACATTAATAATATACTTACTTTCTCTTGTGAATAGGCTACATCTTATAGCATCTAGGAAAATCGCGATAAGGGACTTCAAGAGCTCGTTTTTGTTTGATAGAATTTAGAACATGATTGAGATCATTTTGAGACTTTGACAAGTCTGGCACGTTTATATGATCAAATCAATGATCGCTTTTTGACACACTTAACCCTTGATGGGCTAAAAACACTTGTTTGGGGCAACGCTTAATTAATTGATTCATCTATTTGTCATGGTAATCTTGTTTGTATAAAAATAAGGTGCTTACCTTATACTCAAATACCAACCAATAAAGGAAATAGCATTGATATATATATATATATATATCATAGAATTAATTTATAACCTTGTCTACAAAAGTACGAAATTAAGAAAATTGACACGGGACCTCCTCTGTTGTTTATTATTTAATTTTCCATAAATTAAAAGGCTTGATTAAGCCAAAATAGTGTATTTATTTTTAAAGCCCTAACTTGCTTCATTTGCAAAACTATCCTGTTTTGCTTCTAAGTGAGATCGATAGGTGGACTTTGAGTGCTTTGAAAGGAAACCAAGCGTCCGAAGAATTTATGAAATTCGACATGAACAGACCAGCTCAACAATATAATTAATGTTGCTGTGTGTTGATGAGACGTATGATGGAGCAAGCGGTTGTTTGATTTGACGCTATTTGTTGGGATATGTCCCCCCCCCCCCCAAAACTAGGGGTTCATTTGGCAAATAGACAAATTATTAGAAGTTAAACACAAATTAAAAAAATAGAAATGATAAAATTTTTAATCCTTTAAATTTTTTTTAATTATTGATTTGTTCTCTGAAATTAATATTCAATTTAATATACTTAAAATAGGGTTAATATTTAATATTTTATTTATTATATTAAATTTAATATGACAAATAAATTGGTATGGTAGGAAAATTTATGAATTAGTCGAACAAAATGGGGTGCCGGAAGATTAATTCAAAGTCAGTCAAATCGATTAAAAAACAAAACAAAATTGATCGACTTGGTCTCTGAGGTTTCCTCTTCATCTTTCCGAAGATCACTTCATTTGAGATCGCACAATTCCATCTAGATATCATACAGATTAGAAAAGCTGTACTCATATAAAAGGCTCTAAAAAGAGAATTAATTAAAAACAAATAGAAACATGACATATAATAAATTAATAGAGACACAGACGTTAATGCTTAATCAATCTGCATAACTGTTCTTCGTCAAGTTCTATTTTGTAAGAGACGTGTTCAACTGTTCACAAGAAGACCGTTCAGTGTGTCGTGTCGTGTAAAAGTTTTATTAAATTATATCTATACATTTGATTACATTTTACTGAACTTGGAATTAAATATCCTCTGCATTTGCTCTAGCTGTTCTTTTCATGGACCTGTCTTTCGAAGCATATATTATAACCGGAGAGAGAGCTGCAAGAACAAGGATCTGAACACAACATAGATCGCATTAATCCTTCAATTCCGATCTCAGACCCATCAAACATGTCTCAGCAACCTCAAGAACAGGCCTTGTGCACCATTGATCCTTATCAGTTTCTTCAGATTACCAAAAACCCAGATGGCTCCATCACTCGTCTCATGTCTTTTCCGACAGCCGCCGCCACACCGGATCCCGACTCTCCGTCGCCGGTTCTCTCCAAAGACATTCTTCTTAACCCTAACAACGCCACCTTCCTCCGGCTGTACCTCCCTCGCAACGCAATCTCTTCGTCGTCTTCTTCTTCAACCAAGTTGCCTCTCATCGTCTACTTTCACGGCGGTGGCTTTATTATCCTTAGTGCTTCTTCCACTTTAAACCATGACTTCTGTTCCGAAATGGCAAACCACCTTTCGGCCGTCGTCGTCTCCGTCAAGTACCGTCTTGCTCCTGAAGCCCGGCTTCCGGCCGCCTATGACGACGCAACGGAGGCCTTGCAGTGGTTGAAAGCCACCGACGAGAAATGGATACGTGAATTTTCCGACGTCTCTAGCTGCTACCTCATGGGCACAAGTGCGGGAGCCAACATGGCTTACCACGTGGGACTACGTGTAGCATCAGCCGTTGATGAGTTTGGACCGTTGAAGATGAAAGGGCTGATATTGCACCACCCATTTTTTGGTGGGTCCCAGAGAACTGAGTCAGAGGTGAGGCTTGCCAATAACCCCATTTTGCCTCTCAGTGTGACTGATCTGATGTGGGAGCTCGCACTGCCTTTTGGTGCGGATAGAGATCACGAGTATTGCAATCCGCCGGTGGTGCAAGATGCTGATGTGATCCAACGGATTGGATGGGAGGTTTTAGTGGCCGCATGTGTCGGAGATCCAATGATTGATCGACAGGTGGAGATAGGAGAGAAGTTGCGCAGCAGAGGAGTGAAGGTGGTCGAGCACGTTCGTGAAGGCTATCATTTCATGGAACACATGGAATCAACCAAAGCTGGCCCACTCTTCAACATCATTAAAGATTTCATCTACGCTTCCTGAATCGAAGAAAATTTCTATCATCCATTAAATTTTTACTTTTATTCAGGTAAATGAAAATATAAAAAGAAAACTTTGCTTATGTTTTATTTTCCTCATCACTTGCTGTCTGCCAAAATAAAGAAAACAGAAAATAGTTAATAGTGGCATGACACAATATAAAATTGTTTTAATTGTGGCATTTTGCCTATGAGACGTGAGTGTGCTATTTTTTAGTTAGATATGAAAAATGATTTTGTTTGACTTTAAGGCGTGAAACGTGAAATGTCACGTGTCTGTATCTTATGCCCGTCTTGCGTGACGCGCACATTATATTTATTGTGTGTGTGTGTGTGTGTGTGTGATTGATATATTTAAATTTATCTATTCTATCCCCACTGAGAAGATAACAAATAATAGTGTCTTTGACTTTTAAAATCACTTAGCTCTATTATAAACTTGTCAGCTTGCATAATCGGACGTTTCAAGTTGGTAAGGGGCCAAAAAAAGAAAACAAAACGAAACAAACAACAGCAACGAAGAAAGGTTCGCACATTTCAATGATTTTGTCGTGTCGAAGTTGAGTTCACTAGCTAGCTCTTTGATAAAAAATTTAAAAAAAAAAAAACAACAACATTAGTTGAAGACTTTCGGTTGATTATTTGTATGTCCCATAAATAGCTATCTGTGTAACATATTATTAAAGTCTTGTAACTTTATTAGAGTTGAGACTTAGATCACAGACTGAGCCATTCTTTATATGAAACAAATGTATTTGCTGCATGTTGAGTGCTCAAAAAAGGAACTAAACCTCCAAAGAAGTTTGGTGAATTTTTGATTTATTTATCCTTTTCATCTTGTTATATAATTTGGACTTATTATTCGAAGGAGATTTATCATACTCTAAAAACAAACCAGCTCAGAAATATTACTCAGTCTTATAGATGGTTCAACTTTTTGGGGGCACATATGGATATATGGCAGAGTTGTATGTGAATATATGATAATCTCAAGTGGTTGTTATGTTTTATGTGAAGCCAGCCATGTGAAGGAGTTTTGAGGCTTAAGACAAAATTATTTAAGATACTTAATATATTATCATAAATATAATTTTATATTATTTTTTAATTTATTAAAATCAAATCTAAATTTTCTATTTAACATTTTTGTCACTTCAAATCCTTAAAAAAAGTTAAAACAATTATAATTTCAAATAAAAAGTAAAAGAATAACAAACACACATAATATCGCTAATACTTGAGATCAGAACTTATGTTTTTTTCTTTTCGAGCAAAACTTTCATTTTCAAATAAAAATATATAATTAATATTAATACATAACGAAAAAAATTAAAATCCGATCACATAGAATATAAGCAAATACTTTTGGAGGCTCAAGACAACCGCGTCTCATTGATCTAACAGTTCACAGTACACAGCCTTGTGTAAGACTATGGTTCGGAATATGTTGGAGCACATTTGGCAAACAAACAAATTATATACTACGGGGTCAGGCACAATTTTTTTTACAAAAAAAAAAAATGTAGAATAAGTTAATGTGGAGGAAAAATATATTCCTGAAAATAAGTTAGTGCCGTCATGTCGCCATATGCGTCTAGATACAGCAATACATATATTGCGTTCTTTGGGGGAATATAGGAACCATGGTTTAGAAAGTCGAATTAAATTGGTCAATGGTTTAAATAATTCAAAAAATGGGATGAGATGAACCACGCCTACTGGGGACAGCGATGGATTAATTAATTAGGTGCAGGTCACAGATATATAATGAAACTTTATTTAGTCTTTAATTAAGTTTATTTTAATTATTAATTTGGTCCCTCAAATTTAATTTTTATTAATTTAATTTATTATGTTACATTTTCTTAAGTTATCATGCAAAGACCTTTTTAATTTATAAAATATATTAATGCCTTGATATGCATGTTTATATGTAACTAAATGAAAAAAAAATTAACCATTAAATCAAGTTAATTTTTTTTTATCAATATAATCCTTTACATTGTGTTTTATTCACTTGACTTTTTTAAATATTAGAGTCTATTTTTTAACTAAATCATTATACTTATTTTCATTAATTTAGCTTGTTTCCATCAATATTCTGTTATCTGTGTTATACTAGTATCAAAAGATAATAGTGGACAATTTTTTTTTTGCCTATAATGAACTGTCCAATATGACATCATTATATATTGATAAAGCACATAATATATTTTTTTACTATAACATTTTTTACTTATTATTATATTTGTTACACATATATTATAATATTTCTCATTGTTTTTTCATGATTATTTTTATTTATTATAATATTTATTTTTTATGGTTATTTTTTTACTTATAATATATATGTCATATATTATAAAATTGGATGGTTTAAAGACCTGTATCAAAATTAGAGCTGAGAGGGAATCATATATTGGACGTTATTATTATAACCGTCCAATATACTGTCTAATATTGGACGGTTCTTATTAGAACCGTCTAATATAGGATCCCATATTAGACGGTTATAGTCACAACCATTCAATATGTTACTTATATTTGATGATTTTGATAAATAACTATATTACATTTCAATTTTTTACTACATAGACTACATTTCTTACAAATATCCTGCAACAGTACAATGCAAATACATTAACCAATCTAATCCAATTCAATTTAATTCAAAATTATACTAATCTAAAAACAACTATAGTAAACTAACAATTTTGTCAAAAAACAAAAATATTTTTTATACAATTGCTCAATATATTAATTATTAAGTAAAACAAAGTTGTTTGCTATACTAAACTAAAATTATTCTAAAAGCTAAAATAAAAATCTGCAACTCACTTGTTTTTGGCCAATACTTGAAAAAGGTACTCACATCATTCCTCAACGACTTCGTTGATGTAACTATGCTGGAATTCTTCACAATATGAATTGAGATAATATTGCAATGATGTAATATGACAACAGCGTCAATAACTTCAACAAATTAAAATTCATAATCACATATAGTTGAACCTAAAATTTATAATCACATATAATCACATATTGTAGTGGGGATTAGAGTTATCCCATGAGTGATGATGTCTTTGAAAAACTTCATCACATAATATCCACAACCTTCGCTATAGTCTATTTATTATGGGTACTGCATAGAAAAACCAATAAATATGTTATTGAATTAATTAAAAAATTAGCATTGATTGTTAAAATAAGTAGTGATAAGTACCTTTATTATCTTCCAATTAGGATAGGTTATATCATATAACTTGTATCTCAATAGTACATGTAAGTTCTTTTGGGTGCGATAAAGTACCACAGTCATGATAAGAAAGAAAATAAGTTGAAGTTAGAAATTCAAAATAAAAAAATAAAAAATAATTAAAATATAAACTTACAAATTAAATAATTCTATCATGTGTGGTCTATTATCTGGCTACCCATCGATAGAATTTAGGTAGTAAAACTTTATAGTTTTAATAGCAGCTAGCATAATGCTAATTAGCATCCAGTGGCTCCTAAAACAATTTAAAAGCACATGTCATGAAATTTAAAATGGAAAGAATTAAATTAATTAGGATATCACTAAACTCAACTTTGTGCATAAGGTACCAAATATAGTGTCCCTCTAGTAGGGTTCTTTGCCTAGAAGTAACTTACTAATGTTTGAGCTTGGCCGTGTTGTGCTATTTCGGTAGTGATGTTACGATGAGCAAAGACATCATGAGGATAGACAAAGACAAACTTCAGTACAAGATCACTAGGAATGATAAAATTGTCATGTCGATACTTAAATGAAAAAAAAATATAGTAGAAGGTCATGTAAACAATATGTACCTCATATAAGAGTGAACCATATTTTGGTTGATCAAAAAACGCTTGAGGATTTCATTGACCATTTCAACCCTAATCATATCATGTTGGTCCCTGCCCTTACATGCTTTGGTCAAAGCTGATAAGCAATACAGAATTCGCAAACAATTTTGCATATGCCTCAAGTATAATTTGGTAGGTTTTTGGCTATTGGTTTGGTACTCTTGTCTCAACCTTAGATTATTGGCCCAATTATTTAGTGATGCCCTTCCCCCTAGACTGCATACCCATTATATAGTTAGAGACTAATATAGGTTATATATATATATATATAAATAGGTAATGAGCATACCTATTCTCAATTTTATGTTTCATCTTCTATAAAAAAGCAAACCCTAGGCCATGCAATAAAGTTGCCACCTACTTCTCCAACAGTGAATACTTATAAGGTGGGAATGGGTAGCAGGTAGTTGGTATTAATAGGTTTAAGAATCAACCCTTGCAAATAGTTTGCAAGCATTGATATATTGTGTATGGTATTTTCCTTAGGGATATTAAACATACGGCCTCTTGCCATTTTGTGTCTACTAGGGTTGTTTGCCATGAAAAATCAGTCATACTTGCCCTAAATAAATATAAGTATAAGTCAATGAAATAATAATGAACTAAAGTTAAGGAATAAAAAATAATGTATACCTCAAGAATTTGACTAGATGGTTAGGCCACAATGCAACTATCAATCTTGCTAGGGCTAATATGCTTAAAGGGAGACTTCCTAGTCTTATTAGCCTTAAATAGTGCCTCAATCATTTTTTTGCTACACTTCTATTTATTATTTTAGAGCATTAAATTTAGCTAAAAAAGACATAACTTTTAGAGTCTTCTTTTTTCCCATTATTTATTTCCTCGAGATCCCTATGCCAATACCCCTAACATGCTTAGGTGATCACAATTCCTTAATGCCTTTTTTAAGACATCTTCATCTTGGGGAAGCTCGCTATAACATCTTCAATTTTAAACTAGATTATTTAAACCCAATTAGATGGATTAAGTATGTATTATGAGGTGTGTGGCCAGAGAAGCCTAACGGGCATACTTGATCTCAATTTCAACCCTAAAGGTAGGTCTGAAGGACAATCGGGTTACCCAGGGATGAAAGAGGAAGTAATTCTAAGAGGGGAGATTCTACGTTACACGTTATGGCTTGTGGATGAGTTTCACAATGCATGTGTGTTAGCACACTTGGAGGTGCCATCTGTGCCATGACGCATTGTGCATTCACCGTAATGCATGGTCATTTTTCTGCTAAAATAAGTCACAGATTTAATACATCATAGAAGAGAAAAAATGAAGAAACAAAAGAGCAGTAAGAGAGCAATGTTGGGGCTTGGGAAAATTGAGTACTGAGAGTATTTTGGAGCTTTTAAATATCAAAGGTAAGCTTCCCTACTTAAACCTTTCTCTTTTTTGCCATTTTCTTGATGGAAGAATTTAGGGTATGATTGATAATGATGTTTTTTTAATCCATAGAGGCTATGGGTCCATACCCATTAACTAAAATAGAGTTAATAGGAGTAGATTGAGCTGAGTAAACTTAGTATTCATAATTATATGTTGATTGGAGGTTGTAGGACATTAAATATCTAAATTCTCATAAATATAGTAGTTGGGAATAATGTGGTCTCGTTTATGACCAATAAAGGGCTCAATGATATTAATGAGTATTAAAGGAAGCTAAGAAACCCTACAGGTGCTTTTACATAAGTCAAAAATGAATCTTGAATATTAAGAAATGTTGAAGTGTTAGTGAGAATTAGCACAAATGTAAATATTGATTATTTACATTGTAAATGCTTATAGAGTGACTATCATTGGAACCATTCTAACTTTTTGGAAGCTTTGAGAGTGATTATTAGAGGTGTGAAACCTTTGATCTCTCAAAAGTTTGAGGTAATCGGGGAATTCTAACTTAAACTT